TTACTTAACGGTACGACGAAAGTAAAGAAGACGAACTAGATACTACCTAACTAACGTAAGTTACTAGTTAGTTACGTACGTCGACTAGGTGGTAGTACGACACACACGTACTGTGTGTGTGTATATATAACTACTCTCTCTCTCTCTCTCTCTCTCTCTCTCTCTCTCTCTCTCTCGTGAAGGGCCACAACCATATGGAATGATCCAATCCGTCATGTGACTGTCAATGCTGTGAGGTCAACAGACATGTCCTTCAATGCACAACTCAAATCTGAAATCACGTTAAGATTGAAGTATTAAAACATTCAATGTGTCAAAGATGGGTGCTCGCAAGCCTTTCAAAACGAGAAATAGGGTGTTTGAGTTGAATCTCATTGGTTGTCCAAGATGACCCCATTTATGGTTAATCTCTCTCAAGCAATAGACAAGAAAATTGCATCAAGAATGAGTATAGAGTATGTATCTAGCAAGAAGAGAGATTGTGACTGAAGAAATATGTTTATAATCATATGACATGCATCATAGTCATGGAATTCATTTCCTATGAAGATTTATCATGATACTAATATCAATAACTCTTAGAAGATACAGAAGTAAAATATCGAAAGGAAGATTACACAGCCACATGCTACTTGATGTTGCTTTAAAACTCAGGTATGGAGGGGATTATTTGAGGATAAGTAACTCTGATGTTTCAAAATTGTTATCAGGATATGTCAACCACTTCCATTTGTGATCCGAGGCCTTAACAAAATTTGTTTAATGAAACAATTTCGAAATTATTTATTAAAGCACCAAGATTAGACCTGTCACAACCTCATCCTTTTAGTTTGGAACAAGTAACTCAAGCACAACATCTACAATGGGGCCGATAAGATGCCAACTACAATAGGGCTGATAAGATGCGGAAGCGGCTAGATAAATCAATTTCATCATGAACCTGATATCATTCTGTATGGATAGTAACAACAGTCTATACAATTGACAATAGGGAAAGTATAGCATCTAAATCATGCCGATGCTGGAATGTTGCAGAAGCATCTTCCCTATCAAATT